ATTAGAGGAAAGAAAAAATTAGTTTAAATTCAATCTTAAAAAAAAAGAAAATAATAGAAGTGTATTAAGTGTTATTGTCAGATTTCTAGTTATGAGTTCGTCGACATGTTACTAGGTAAAGTCGATTAAATTTATATTTGAGTGAACCAAATTGTCGAGTGCAAACTTGATCTAAATCGACTACGACGACGTTGGCGCCGCGACAGTTAATGAAGCGTCTTAAAAACCTTCATTATATTTATACATTCCGATGTTTAAACGTTAATCAACGATTTTTCAATGTTCGATACTCAATTTTCGACTCTCGATTGTTTGATTTATTAGTTCTTTGATTGCTCGATGTCATGATCACGAGAGTATACTTATTTAAATTCAATTGTAAATCTATTATTTGAAATAGTATTTCAAATAGAAGATTGTCAAATAGAAATTGTTCGAATATTATTCAACTCTGACGCCAACACGGCACGTTCGCAAAGCCGATTTTATTTATAGTAACAACCTGAATCCCATGTTCTATCTCTTACCACGTGCTTGCACGAAGAAGATCACATGAGTGGATCGAAGCCAGAGATTCTTCCGTTTATATTTTATGAATCTGACTCCTGTTACTATTAGTTTTTATTTTTTTTTTTTAACTCGATACTTATAGGTCGTTAAATTGAAAGAAATGACTACGAAATATAAGGGACTGTTGAAATAGTGGAGAAATTGGATTTATCAAAAAAACGAATTTACTTTTCGAACATCCTAATACGATGAAAACTTCGTAAGAACGTTATCACCAAAATTACTTAAAAGTTTTATCGTGATATTAACTGCTTCAGTTGTAGGAGATCCATTTCATTTGGTAGTAGGTACTGCGGAGATGAATAAATGCTTCCCCTTAATTAAGTACCTTCTATGTACGAATGAAAGGAGCTCGCGATATACATTACGACTCCGTTATTAATTCAACGATCCATGTATGACTATATATATACACATATATGTTCGTGTTTCATGTATAAAGAGTATAATATGTGTAATACACATATAGGAATAGGTTAGATAAGTTCCTATTTGTTCTCTTCTCTATCTCACCATCTTTCTCTTCCTCGTGTATGTTTTACTTAGAATACGAACTGTTTTTTCCTTGTGTACTATCTAGTCTATGTAACTCCTGATGCTTTGTTTACATTGAGAAATGTATTTGAATAGAAGTATCAACAACGTTAAATTCGTCGAAACGAAATGTGTTAGAAAAAGTGAAATGTGAATTACATTAACTTCTAAACTTACATATAATATAATGAATTTTTATGAAAAAAATGCTTTTTCCCAAACGGGATATTATCTTTTAATTATTATAAAAAGATGATATTAATAATAAAAAACTAGTGATAAAATGTACAAACATGAAAGATATGAAGAGAAGATGTTCCATAAGTATCGCCATAATATTAAAAAATCGATTTTACAAAATTAACCAGTTATATGGGATAGAATATTATTCAAATATAATTATTATTGTTAAAATTAAATATTAGTTAATTATTTTGGTTGGTAAAGAATATTTTTCTATTCTCGATAATTTTACTGTTAGTACCAGTATACTAAAAAATTGGATTTAATTGTAAGATATGAGTAACTCAATCATTTTTGCATGAATTTCTTTTTTTGTTGGCAAGTAAGATCAATAAAGAGAATGTAACTGGTAAAAAGTAAATATTTATTGTGAATTAGGCAACATAGTTATTATTATAATAAAAATATCATAGCACGCACTAATAATAGATAGACACATCTATGACGTTTAGGGTTGTAAGGAATTTGTGGAATTTGGAGTTACGTACGAAAGATACTAACATATGTAAAATGACTCAGTTATCTTAGAAATGGAGCTGAATCAAAGAAAGAAAGAAAGAAAGAAAGAAAGAAAGAAAAGAGACATACATATTCATGGAATTAGCACAATGTCACGTTCCGTTTTTAAAACACATGCTAGGAAATCTGTCTTTAGTTTAGCTTGAACAAGAAAGTCATCGATATCAAAATTATTACTCGACGAAATAAAATAAAATATAGTTTTTGCTAAATTTTCTATCGAATTTTATTAAAAAAGAATTAAAGGATATTATTGAATTATTTATTTTCTGTAATTTTTGTTGTTCTTACTTTGTTTAAAACAAATAAATTTATGTAAGGTAATTAAATTATTGACCGTTAAACGGATATGAAGACTGGCCAAATATAATTTATCTGAAAGGTTAAATTCTACAAGTAAATATTTGTTATTTATTTATTTTCTGTAATTAGTTAATTTTTTTCCTCCTCTTATTGAAACAAATCGAGTTATATAAGAGAATGTAGTTGTTGGTCATTAAAAGAATATGAAGGCTGAAAAATAGCAACAATGTCGTTGTGACAATTCATCAATAAGATCGAAGGCTGCAGGAAGAGAGGAGAGATCAGAGCGTAACCGTAGCAGAGGATGTAACATTGAACTTAACTCGGTAATAACCTCCGGTTAATGGTCAAACCAAATGTGAAGTTGAGCGTTGTAGGTTTTGAAGTATGTATTATCACTTTAAGATATCAACGTATCTACATCCTACGTGTTTTAGCATCTACGTCATAATTTACATAATTACGAAATTTCGAACTAACTTCATAATAAACTTTTAGTTCAAAGGAATTTCACTTGAAAATAATTTGAATAGTTCTATGCAACATAATGATCCATAAATACACGAGTCGTCGAGTGGTGAATGGTACATAAAATAATTTAGAATACTTGATATTCATAATTAAGAAACATCCGTATCTCTTGGCATGATGAAAGTGCAATGATGAAAGCAACTTACAAAATCATTCAATTTTTCACTTATTGCTGGTTCATATAAATGGAAATATATTTTAGTTTTTCTTTTTTTTTTAAAATACTTCCTCGTAAATAAATCCTTCTTTGATTTGTTCCCTTTCATTCTATTACTCACTCGTTACTGTATCTTCGTGTTGCACAAAAAGAAGAGAGAGGGAGAGAGAGAGAGAGAGAAAGGAAAATAAATCGTTTATGTTACCGAACGGGTTTTATCGATCACGTTTATAAACCATTTGATTTTTAGAGTCAGTTTCTTTTTTTTTCTACTTTCGTTTACGCTTGAAACGAGCCACGAATCATGAAACTTCATCAGATTGAGCACATCGACCACTTCTGTTTATTTTTCCGAGAGAGCATGAACTTCCGTTTCCGTCGATCGTGTGCCAATAAACTCAAATCTATCTACATCACCTTTTGCTTCGAAATAGAATCCTTTTTATCGATATTCACTTTAATGCATGTACAATTGTTTTCTATTTCCAACCAAATGAATTATTAACGAATAAATTTGCAATCTTTTTTTGCATATAATATTAGAAGCATTTCTAATCAACTTGTTATTAAAGTGTTAATTAACATTCATAAGTAATTGAATAAATTAATGTATGTATATTCTGAATTCATTATTTATAAACCTATTTATTTTGAATAAATAAATTTATAAGAAAACTTGCAACTTTTCTTGCAATTTTAATCAATTTGGAAACAAGATGATAATTAACAAAGATAATAAGTGAATTGAAAAATATTCTTTTTAATTTATATTAATATATTTATCTATTAATATTGAGCGAATAGATTTGTCAATAATCGCAATTATTTTTATGGGATTGATTAGCTCGTTAAAACGACGTGAAATTGACGAGAATAATGATTTAATTGTTATTATTGTACTAAAGGATGGTTTGGATAATTTGTTTGGTATAGAAACAGAAACTTCCAATCAACGAATGGAATCGTTTAATCTTTGTAATAGCTCGATATTCCATTCGCAAAGTTTTAATCAATTATTGTCTTTGACATTTAGATATATTGTCGTTTGCAGAATGGCAGATAATCATTTATCTTCTTATCTTTAAAGTTTATAGATTAATCCGTACCATAAATTTTGTCTTTTGATATTAAAATGTAAATTATCTCTTTTGTTATTGATATTAATATTACTTTTGTTATTTTCTTTTATTATTTTGTTATTATTATCGTTAATATTATTGGAAGAAGCGATCGAAAAATATTTTTAAACATGAAATATAGTAGAAAAAAGAAAAACGGTTCGTACATTCGTTTTGCTAGAAAATTTTTCGTTATTTTTTTGTTGTTTCGTTAGCATTTCTTTTTTTTAACCTTCGATAAAAAAATTTGTATTCGACGACAAACAGGGCGAAACGAAAAATTTCGTTTCTAAGTAAAAAGTACCAATGAAAAACGAAAGGGTTCGTTAATTATGAAAGATTTCAAAGCGCCTTCCTCGTTAACGCAATTTCGTTCGTCCTTCTCTCTACATTTCTTTTTATTTTCCTTTTTTTCAAATTTTATTTTTTCGTATTTTTGTAATTTCTTTATTTTTTTCTCTTTTTTTTTTCTTTTTTCATAAACACGCCAACGTGGCAGTCCACAGGAAGGTTTTAATTGGAAACTAAATTAAGCTTGGTAATAATTAATACGACGATTTACGAGGAAAAAAACATTTTTTGGATATTTTTTTGAAAATGCGTTGAGTTCTTAAGTTAATAAAAAGAAAAGAAACAACAACGAAGAAATGAAAGACAAAAATCTCTTCACTTTTTGATCGATTCGCGTGTGAAACGAATAAAAAGAGACAAACAATTGGGAATATCATTTAATTTTCTTAATTTAAAATGATATACACTTTACCGGCCGCTAGCCTATTGATAGGCTTTTTTGTCGCCTACGCTTACCGAATAAAAATTAATTATTCAGCTTTTTGTCGTCGACCGATAGCTTATTAATCGGTTGACATAGCGATGAACAATCATTATCATTACATGAACAGTAATTTGTTATTAGAATCTTTTAGAAAAATCTGAGGCTGAGCGGCTGGTCGGACGTGCGTATGCTGTTAAAAAGCGGTCGGTAAAGTATTAATATTAGATGATATATTCTATAAAACACTTACCGAAGCTACAAGCCAGTAAAATAGCTATCACTATTATCTTCATGACGATTATAACTCGTGTATAAAAATGTTTCGAAATTTTGCGGATCGATTTGATCGACTTCTTTAAATGATGATGTAAAAATTTTATAGAAAAGAACAAAAAAAAGAAAAAGAAGAAGATTAAGAAATAGAATATAATGATGAAGAAAAATTCACTTATTATAATCACTAATAACAATTAGACAAAACACCGCGATGACAAAACAGTTTTGGGAAAGGAATGATTCGATCGAAGACGTAACCTCGTGGTTGGTTGAAAATTGACGTTGATATCGTAAGCTGTAGTGGGGGAGATCAAATAATCCCATTCGATCGGCACGTGGTTCTTCGTGCACTGTCACCTTTTTCTACCCTCCGTTTATTTTATACCTGAATACAACAGTTCGACCCGACCAGCTGTGTCAGCAGGTGTCAATATTTACCTCGACCTTTCCATGAAATGAAAATCCTACTCTTTTTACATGTATATATATATATATATATATATATACAAATATAAACACACACCACATATATGTGTGCATCCACTCCTTCTTTCCTTTTTAAATTTACTTTCCCTCTTGCTTTTATCTTTTCACTTTTCGAAGGGTAGAGATTCTCGGGTTTATCAAAGATATGTTTTAATAGAGTCGAAACAAACGAACAATGTAAATTCTTGATTATTATCGTTTTTTTCTCAAGTTTGACATTTGTGCTATATTCTTCTTTAAATCAATAAAAGAACAAAAAAGCACAAATAACAGATAATCTTTTATACCTCTCTTCTTTTTTCTTTACAAAAAAAATAATGTATAGAAACATCAACTATAAAAGGGGATGAAATTTTTGGCGGGAATTTAAATAATTAAACGAACGATATTTCGATCAGAATGAAAACTTTGAATGCTAACTTCTCTCTCACCCCGACGAATATGAATAAATAATGTGCGAATAATAAAGTTCATTATTTGTGGTACTCTTAATTTAATTCTATTATTATTATTATTGTTATTAGAGGATATATCCGAAAAATAAGTCTGTCGCGAAAGACCCGAGTATGACGACTGTTTCTATTCGTTCGTTCTCTCAAGCGCGAGGACAGGGAGAAGAGTGCTACTGCTTCTTTCCCCTGCCCCTCTTCCCAACCTTCCCCATCATCATCCTCTACCTCATCCACTAACTCGTCGTCCCACTCCTCCTCCTCTTCTTCTTCTTCATCTTTTTTTCTCTCTTTTCTTTTTACCGTTCTAACCCAGTCAAACTTCTCCGACGATTTTCCTCTCTTCTCTTTTCCTCTTGTCCTCTTCGAGCTCATATGGAGGAGGATCGTTGATATTTTTGTACATACATATGAACTTAGTATACTAGAGACCAAACTCGTGAACGTTATCGTTACTTCGAGAGGTATATCAAAGAAAACGAGAATGAAAGAGAAATTAAACAGACTTTGTCTAACTTTCGTTAGTTTGAATTTGGTTCGAGTCCATTAATCAATTTAAACATTAGAAGATAAATGAAAGAAAAAAAGAAAGATAGAAAGAAAGAAAGTGTGATAGAAAAATCGTTTGATCGAAAATCAGGTGTAGTTTTTTTTCTGAGAACTCGTCGATAACCGTTTTTATCTTAATTCTTCTTGCCGACGTCCTTGTCAAAGTTAACACTGCTAATTCCTGATAAAATATGGCCTCGAGGGGATAGCTGAGAGTTTTATTAATACCTTTATTATTACAATCTACTGCAGACCGGTTATCTTCCAGATGCGTTAACATACAAATTTTTTCAACTGTGGTAGAATATTTTTTTTAATCAGATTTTTATAGATATAAAAATTGCATTTTTCATATTACTGCTATCGATATTACTCTGATTAATAATAATAATAATAATAATCATTTTTAAATATAAATATGCGAAACATATATTAAATGAAAATTATATTTGTAGAAGCTTTTAATGGCAAAATAAATTTCTATTTCTATTCAAGTCCCATAATTGTACCTGTTTTATATAAAAATATGAATTATCATAAACATCCGCGCTCGAATTATAATATAATCATTTGTGTTTGACGTCTTTCGAATATGTAAAATATTTAAATACTTTCGATTGATCTGATACAGGTAACGATAACTATATTACTATCTTTTAGAATAATGTGTATACGTACACATATGTATATGTGTATGTGTCATGCACAGAGGACAACCCTTTCTGCAATTGGTCATTAGCCCTTGTCTAATGGCACGACCATTAGGAGGATTCGGTCGATGTTCGAATCAAAGAGAGATAACTGGTAGATTCGAAAGCCATAAACGATGATGCTAATCGCTCGGCGAGCCGTTAGTAATTAACCTCGTCCTCCGTTTCACATTGCATTACTCGATTAAATCCTATTGTGAGTTATATTCTAATTTCTCGTTTGCCACGAAACTAAAAATATTACTCGTTTAATTGGATTTACTTAAATTCTTCAAGACTACCATGATTTTATTCATAAATATACAAATGAATACCTAAATCATTTATCCTATGTAAAATAACGTTCATTCTTTTAACTAGTAAAATTATCAAGAATTTCGAAAAATAAATATTAACAGTTTCCGATCAAATTTATCGAAACATGAACTTCAATAAATTCTATCTCTTTCTCTCTTTCTTGTATTTTTATTTATTTATTATTTTTCTTGTTAACGAGTTTCGATCAATCATTTAATGTAACATGTAAATAGTAAAAAGAATAAAAAAAATATCGAACGATAGATTAATATTTTTTTATGACTTTATCGTAAAAATACGATGATGTTTGCAATATTTATTTTCAAGCTATCTTCCCATCGTAGCAGAATCAACGTATATGTATATTCTATCTCTTTCTCTGCACAGTTGCTATGGGATTTGTTAACGATAGGCTCACGGTAACGATTTTGAACGAGAAGTTGCCTCAGGGATTTTACTCTTTGACTCTGGACTTTACGTGAGTTTCTCTATCAATATTGAACTAGAACGATATTAATTACTTCGCTTTATAATGTCCACTCTAGCGAATACTAACAACACGTCTTTACACTAAACTCGTATTTATATATATTTATCCGATGATAATGATGACGACTTATTGTTGATTTTGTTAAAGGATTGATAACAAAATTCTAAATTAATTTCAAAATACCAATTATTTTTTTCTGAAACTGTATAAGCAAAAATAATTTGCTTATAAAGATTCAGATTGTCACGAGCTTAGGTTTTAATTTTACAATTTAATTTACATTGTAATTTTTCGCCTACCTTGTTATTTGGATATTTCTTACAAGTATTATCCAACGTAGTCGCTGTAAACGATGTTCTGATATGCGATAGAATATTCAGTATTCGAATTAACAGGAAGACACAACTTTACGGATGACAAAATTTTCGTATATTAGAATACTAACAATTTTTGTTGCATTTTGATAATTTTTTAGCTAACAGAGTATTCCTTTTTTCATTTCAACACTTGATACTACACGTTTCCTTTCCGATGATATTACATGTGAGTTTTAAATGCGTATGATATCAATTTCATACTAGATCAATAAGATAGATATAATATTGTACTTATGAAGCAGAGCTTTTCAAACTTTTTCACTTAGTGACCTTCCTTATTTACTTCCAAATATTTTCACGACCCTAAATATAGACTTTATGTTATCTTCTTTCATTATCATAAATTCGCAGACATATTATATATATATATATAAGTGTAGTGTTATTAATCTGATTTATAAATTTAAAAAAAAAATCTTTGAGAAGCCTAAAATGAAGGATATACTACGTTTGGATTATTTGGTTTGATAGTAGATTATACAACCAGGAAAGGGTATAGGCAGTGTTAATGTACTAGATTTTCGGATACTGAAGATTCTACTGTATATATAATTGGTGGTTTGGTGTTGATCTAATATCATAAGATTATTATCAATATTTATTTATTTATTTCACTGATCAAGTAATAATCACATAAAGCTGATAAAGTAAAATCCCGTTTCTTTTTTTCCTTTTTTCTTTCGTTTTCGGTAAATCGAGTTGTTTGTGTTTTGTAATGTTATATTTACAAGTATATAGCTCTTTTCCATTTGACGAAAGTTCTTTTACAATATTGTGTTTTTCCTTAAACGTTAAATGTATGTATATATACATAAATATATGTATATTATATATTATATATTATAATATTTATATATACATGTATATATAAATTATACATGTATGTNACGACTCTCACCAATTCTTTTCGAGCGCCAATTGTAGAAGATAACACGTACGTTACATGTATATATATATATATATATATATATATATATATATAAATACATACATGTATAATTTATATATACATGTATATATAAATTATACATGTATGTATTTATATATATATATATATATATATATATATATATATACATGTAACGTACGTGTTATCTTCTACAATTGGCGCTCGAAAAGAATTGGTGAGAGTCGTGTAGAAAATATCGAGTTTTCTTCAATGATTCTCAGAGTCAATTCAATTATCAATCATATTCAAATATTTATAAATGATTTAGTTGAGCTAGAGTTGAGCGCGAATTATTGAAACGCATTTTTATTCTTTTTTCTTGTATTTTCTTCCGGCGTAAGAAAATGATTATTGTACCCAAAACCCCGTGTGTAATAAAATTTTCTCCAGAAAAAAAAAAAATATATATATAAAAAAAGAAAGGAAAAGAATAATAATTACACAAAAAACGAAACAAAATACTCTAGTTAACAATAAATTATTAAATATCTATTCACAGGTGGTATGTATAGGCTAATCGTTATTACTATCAACGTTTTAACGTAATCCTCTTTCTTTCTTTTTTATATTTCTCTCGTGCTGCTTTATCATTAATCAGCTACTAACGTCATTTACGACTATCATTAGATAAGACACACGTACGCACGTAATTACCCACACACGTACAGCACCAGGACTTTTTCTAATTTACGGCACTTTTGCTTGTTTTCTTTATCTATCTTTCTATTTATTTTTGTTTTTTAAATGAATACGAATCTTATTTGGAAGCACGATGACGATTACAACGACGACGACCGATATAATATAAATGATAAATGAGATTTTATTATAAATATTAGTCTCTCTTTTTATCTACGGCAGCGAGGTAACTTAACGTCATCCTGCTTCCAAAAATCTCGTTTACGTCGTCTTTAATGACACTTTTATATTATATTATATTTTATTTTTTCTTCATTTTCTTCGTCTTCTTCTTCCTTTTTTCGGCCGTTTGTGTTTTATTTTATATATTTTATTTCTTTTTTGAAATTTCGTCCTTTCATGCACAGCAGTGAGTATTTTTCGTGGATATGCGCATGAGTATGTATCCGGAGTCACATGAAATAACGTTTGCAAAACCTTAGATTTTTTGTGTTTTCAAACGTCATTCCAATGTAAAAAGCTACAAGTTATAATCCGTGTTTTGTATGTGTAATTACATTAAGTAACTTTTCGGCCGTTTTAATTGATTGTATCGAAGTTTCAATCGCCTAAGAATATTTCTTTCTTTTTTTTTTTCTTTTTTTTTCTCCGTTTCTTCGTCGCCATACACACACATATATATAATATATAAATTCTAAGTCAGCGAAGACACGTCGTGAAGCTCGAAGATAATACAAAAGAAAACAAAAATATTCAACAACAACAACAAGAAGTAAGCAGAACCGAAACAAAAAGAAAAGATGGATTTGAGTATATAGAATTAAAAATCTTGATTTGATCGATTTGAAAAATTATATACTCGATCACGCTTGAAATGTTCACTAAATGACGTTAATTAATTTTAATAGTTTTATTAGCTTCAACGTACGCGCGCGTTTCAACTTGCTGTAATTCTTTTTTCTCCCTCTTTTTCTTCTTTTTTTCTTCCAATATTTCTTTCGTTGCAAATACTATACACAACAAATAGCGCATTTTTAATCTACGATAGATTAACTAACATTATAACATTTCGGTGTACAGAATAATGACTTTCTTATTTCATTTTCATTTGTTTGTTTGTTTTTCTGTGTTTTTACCTTCATTTTGTTTTTTCTTTTTTTTGTTTTGTTTATATCTTTATATATACACCTATATTTGTATTACAACGCAACACTATTTGTCGTCGCTAATTATTATCGTTTTTAAACGTGCTACGATTTTTTCTGCTTCTGCATTTCATTAATTTGTTTATTCTTTTTTTTTTCTTAGTTTTCTTTTTTCTTCTTCTTCTCCTCTTTTTTCTTAGTTATTTGTAGGGTGTTTTCTCATTCATTTACGTTTTTACTTAATTTCGTGTCTTGTTTCACACTCGCACTTCAAAAGCAAACAACATAGCAACAGGCACACATTTATTCACTCTCTATCTTTCTCTCTTTCTTTTTTTCTCTCTGATTTTTTCTATCTTTCTTTCTCTTTTAATTTGATTTCATAGAAAAAAAAAATCTGAAAGAAGATAAGAAAGTTATTATATACGGCATCCACACAGTAGAGTCCTTAGAAAAATGGAGGGGAGAGAATCTTATGCGAGAGGATACGAGGTATGACCATGAACTCTGTTGATTCGGATATTATTATTATTATTATCATTATCATTATTATTATATTTATTTTAATATTATTCTTATTCTTATTAATATTGTTATTATTATTATTATTTTTCTTCTTATTATTATTCTTATTATTATTAATTATTATTATTATTAATATTATCAAAAAACGGAGATTAAAAAATGTGATTTCCAATGATAGAAAAACGTACGAAGTGTGACATTTGCTATCTAGTTTTGATTGGCTGACAATTTAACTTTATTTTTCTTTCTCATTTACTCTTTTTTTAATATTTCTCCTTCCCTTTTTTCTTGCTTTTAGGTCTTTTTATAAATAGTTAAATCCGTTCACAGTTTGCTCGCAATTAAATGATTTTTTCTTTTTAAAGAAAAAATATTCAAATTATTATTATTTTTTGTTTGTTCGTATTAAATTTTACGTATGCGTGTTAAATAATTTTAACCACAAAGAACAAGATCGTGCCGAATAGAAATTCCGATTTATTGAAACACAATCGGAATCAGTACTTTTAAATATTCGAAAAGTTGGATGATATTTGAAAAATAAATTGATTTTTATTGTGCGCGAGAATTAAAACATATTTAATATACGATGATATTTATATACGTATATAAATATGTATTAAGTTATTCGCGATTTCGTCAATCTATTCGAATATTCTCAAGTAATTATTGTTAATTTTGTTGTTATATCACTGAACATACACTTCGTGTAATCATAGAAAATATATAGCAACGATACTTTGTTGTAATCTAAAACGATTTCGATTTACAGTTATTATTTGTTTTCCTTTATTCTTACCTTTATTTTATATTTTTCTGTCAATTATTAAAAAGACAAATAAAAAACACGTGTTCGTCTATCTGTCTCTATCTCGAATAATTATCCTACCATTCTCTCCCTCTCTTTCTGTCATTTTCTCACAGTCATTCAATCCTCCCACATGTTTCCTATATGCTATTTACAAACGCGACTATTTTTTTTGTTTAACTAACGTTCGCCTTGTTTTTAATTTTCTTTTTTCTCTTTCTCTCTCGCTCTCATACATACACCATCAACAATCTTTCTTTCTCGCTTTCGTTCTTCCATTTAGCTAAAATATTTGTGAATTATTTTATATGTATATTTAATAATATTCAGTGTTTGTGTAAGTGTGTATGTGTATAATTCGCACTTCTCTATCTCTTTCTTTCTCTCTCTCTCTCTCTCTCTCTCTCTCTCTCTCTCTCTCTCTCTCT